TCCCTGCCAGGTAATAATATTTCTTCATTGGTACCATGGCAAGTTTTTAATGTCCTCTGTTGTAACCAGCCTCTTTTCCTTCAGGGCATCCAAGGATCGGGTGACTCGGGTTCTCTGGGAAGCCTGGGGCTGGGATGTAGAGGGTGCTGGTTTGAGGGTTGAGGCTGGAGCAGGAGTCAACCCGGAAGTCCAAAAGAAAATAAGCGAATCATGAAAGTTTAGGATTAGCAGCAATAGCATAGTCACGCACATAAACCAGATGGATGGCATGAGCCATTTCCGTACTTGAGCAGACTCCTTAATGCTGTCATAGTTACACGGTTGTACCTGCGGGCGCTTGGCTCGCCACAGGATTTTTGGAAGGCTTTATTTTGGCCTTTCCTTTTCTTCCTCTTAATGAATAGCGAGGGTTTTTAGGAGAGGTCTTGGGCCTCCTTCGCAGCTTCCCAGAGTGGAGGTGAGATTCTGGTGTCAACTGGGGTTGTGACTCACTTGCACTGGGAGGCGTGGATCCAGTTGGGCAGGTTGTGGCACTTGACAGCGGTGTGGGTGGTTAGCAATATCTGGAACGGGGCTTTCCAAAGCAATTCTTTCGTTGATATTTTTTGATATATACCCACTCTCCTGGTTGCAAGTCATGAAAGGAGGAGTCCACTGGAGCAGGGAAGGCACCCTGAACCTGTTTGTGTAAACACTTAATACGTTGCATGAGTTTTTTACAATATATCAGGACCCTCTCATTTGTCAGCTGTGTATCTAGGCAACTGGGTGTTATAGGAGGGGCCACTGGTATTCTTATTGGCCTGCCCATTACAATTTTATGGGGGGAAAGACCATGCTTGCGAGCAGGGGTGCTCCTCATTTCCATTAGGGCCAGGGGTAGGGCGACTGGCTACTTAAGGTTGGTTTCTGAACACATTTTAGCAATTTTGTTTTTCAGCACCCCGTTTCCCGTTCCACTGCCCCAGCACTTTGGGGGTGGTGAGCGCAGTGAAAGTGCTGAGTGATTTTTAGTGCCTTGCAGATTTGCTGCACGACTTGGTCTGTGAAATGAGTACCCTGATCGCTGTTGATAGAAAGGGGCAGTCCAAACCGGGGAATGAATTCATCTAGCAGTTTCTTTGCCACCGTGAGGGAGTCGGCTTTGACACGGGGTAAGCCTCAACCCACCCTGAGAATCTACAGACACACACCAATACATATTTGAACAAGCAGCATTTAGGCATGCTGATAAAGTCAATTTGTATATTTACAAAAGGGCCCTATGGGGAGGGATGGGCTGCAGGCTTGGGTTTCACAGGCTTTCTGACATTATGAGCAAGGCACACCGGGCAGGTGCCACAATTGTTGTGCCACATTGTTGTGCCACTGCTGCAAAATGTGGGGCACCCAATGACGTTCGATTGATTGTACCATTCCCCTGCTCCCTACATGGGTTAGCCCGTGGGCCAGGCGGGCCAAATAAGGGAGCAAGCCTCCAGGTGCTACCGGGCGACCATCCGGAGTGCGCCATATGTTGTCGGGAGATTTTTCACAACCCATTGCTCTTCAGTAGTTCTTTTCCCCTTCCTCTGCCGACTCCTGCATGTCCGCCGAGTCTCGTATGAGGGTTGGGGGCATGTCAGGAGAAGATGATTCGACGGGGATCAGGCCTAGGTTGCAGTTAGCTAGGGCTATAAAACAAATAGCAGAAAATTCAGCCGGAGACCCTGAAAGGGCCGCTTGCTTGGCTGATCCGTCAGCCAGAGCATTTTTTCGTGTGACCTCATCACAAGGAATTTGATGGGCAGCGCATTTTATAATGGCTATCTCAGAAGGGAGTAAAAGAGCATTAAGAAGTGCATTAACATAAGGCCCATTTCGGATGGGAGTCCCCGCAGAAGTGAGGAACCCACGGTACTTCCAGAGTTGCCCATAATCGTGCACTGTCTGGTCCAGGTATACTGCAGGCCCTGGAAAGTAAAGGCAAACAGATACTGGCTTTCTGGGTGAATGGGGCTAGAGAAAAAGGCTGAGCATAGATCTACTACTGTGAAGTAGGTAGCTGAGGGGGGGATGCAAGAGAGAATGGTTGCAGGGTTGGGCACAACCGGGAACAGGGGGTGGACTACTGCATTTACAGCTCGCAGGTCTTGAACAAAGTGCCATTTCCCTGTTCCTGGTTTTCGGATGGGCAGGATTGGGGTATTACAGTCACTACTAGCTTGAACAATAACTCCTTGTTGAATCAGGGATACCAAAACTGGCCTGATCCCCTCCTCAGCTGCTTTAGAAAGGGGGTATTGTGGAATCCTGGGAAGGGGCTTAGTAGGATCTAGCTGAATTTTAACGGGCTGTTCTGATGCTATACAACCCACTTGATTTGGATGATCCTCCCACAAAGCTGGGGGAACTTGGGCCAATATTTCTTTCTGTACTGGGGAGAGATCTGGGCTTGTTTTGTCAAGGGAGTGCGCCTGCAGGACCCCCAAGACCTCGTGCTGTGCGGTCTCTGGAGCCTCCAGGAACACCCCTTTAGGAGTACAAAAGATAGAACAGTTCAATTTACATAACAGATCCCTTCCCAGCAGGTTGACGGGGGAACAAGGGCTGAGGAGGAAGACGTTGTTCTATCAAAGGGCCTATTGATATCAACAGTACTAGATGCAGCACCCCAACCGGGAACAACATGAAGGGCTCGATTCACCTTAATTCTATATACATATAGTGAATTAAATTTAGACGATGCAACCCCCCCTCCTCGTAGGGGAGGATTAATTATTTCATAAAGCAACTGCTATAAAAAAACCACTTCCTGGCTATTAAAAGCAATATTTCTCTAAATCCTAGCCACTAGAACACTGCGGTAAGCCTTGGTCTCTTTTCCAGGCGAGACCAACTGCCCAAGCCTCCTTATCCAGGTGAGGCCAACTCCTCAACTTTCACACCAGTGGGGAGGATTTATAAGGGAGGTCCTCGCACACACCCCCTTCCGGCAAAGAGCACCAGCCTGTCTTTTAAAGGAACGAGATAGGATACCCTATTGCCTCCGGTACGGCGGGCAATTTCCAGGGACTTCCCCTCTCTCCGAGCAAGGGGAGGGAGTCCACGGCCCCAAAAGGAAGATCTGCGAGCTTCAAAAGGAAGATCTGGGGTAAGGTTTTGGTCATAGGTCAACCACACAGAAGGGTCAGGAAAGGCTGGGTCCCCGCACACCCCTCCTTGGGCAGAGAGCATTGGCACGCCTTCAAGAGAACGGGATGGGCTACTCCACTGCCTACGAGTATGTGGGCGGTTTCCCGGGGCCTCCCTGCTCTCCGAGCAAGGAGGGGCTCCTCAGCACTTCAAGGGAAACAGGGGTGGGATCACCTTACGGCCCACAATCACACAGCACACCTAATTCGGGAGGGATCTCTATTACGACAGTTCTCACCAGTCCACCAGTCTATTACTGGTGGGAGCCCTGCCGGCAGTTCTCACCAGTCCACCAGTTAACCTATTACTGGTGGGAGCCCTGCCAATCCCCTCGGCCGCTCCGGGATTCCCTGGATTCTGCCCCACCCACGGTAGAGTCCAGGGATATCTTGGATTCCGTCCCACCCACGGTAGGGTCCACTTTCCCGGGGTCTCCTAGCAGCCGGTCAATCGTCCTCTGGGGGGACCAATCCCCGAAGGCCGAGCCACATGAAGCAGCTAACTAACACAAAACAAACAAAACCCAACACAGACAAGTTACAGAATGGACACACACAAAATGAACAGGCGTCAGGCAAATGAGTCTAGCCTCAAAAGGTTTAGATCACAGCGTGCCCTTACCTGAACCCAGAGCCTATGGGCAGCTCCCCACCGAAGCCCAAATAGAGACAAGGGTGTCTTACCTGGCGCCTGGGATCGGTGTGGGAGCGGTCCACGGTCCTCCGGTCCGGTGGGACGTCAAGTGATCCCGGGCGAGCCCCCAAATTGTCGTGGAAAAAATCACCCACGCATTGATTTACTTCACAGACTCAAACCTGAAGCCAGTTTATTGCAATACACACCAATGCGTTGGGGTAACGGTCCGAAAACTGCTACACCTAGCAGCAGCTCGCAGGCTGCTTTATTCCATCAAACCGCAAGCATAGTACAGATACATCATTTATGCGAAAATAAGAGTAGGGGTCTGTCCCTTTTGCCCGGTAGCTTCGTCATTATTTACGAGAATTGGGTGCCTATTGGGTGAGGGGTTTCTCGGTGGTTTCCGCCATGGGTGGTACTTGGCACCAGTGGGAGTGTTTTTCTAGTCAGGGTACATATTGTTTTTCTGGGCTTTTACGGTTAAGGGCGTAGGGGTTTATCACAGAACGCCCAAAGAAGATATATGATTGGCTAGTTTGGCAGTCAGCTGGAATCATGGGGGGCGGGAGGGACACAGATCACCCAAAGGAGAAGCTGCATTTAGTCAGTTTGCATTTAGCTAAAATTACCTATTGCTTCACACAAGCGGTTATTATATTTTATCAGCCATGAACATATTTCATTAGTGCTGCTGCTGTGGCTTTTTATTCTTTCCCTCCTTGGCCCCCCCCTCTCCCCCGGTCATGACCCTTGACCGAGTTTGGCAGGAGGCTGTGTCACTTAGCCTAGTTCAGGCTTGTGGCCTGCAGGGCGGGCCTTTATGAGGAGTCTTTGCCGATGTTCTGATTGGTGCAAGGGAGGCCAGCCAAGCCTATTCCCCCACAACACCTATAGTAAAAAGATCTTTTGCATTCCTGACTACCAGATTTGTAGAAAATCTGGTTTTACTGGATATTTTTCATGACAGAGGATGCGGGAGGAGGGAATCTGTAATTTATTTTTTTAAAACAACCAGGAGAAAATGAGAAATTATAACTAAGAACGAAAAATCTGACAAATCTTTGCCGATGAGCTGAAGGAACCAGGAGAGGGGGCCCTAGCAGGGTTTCCGGGTTAGGACTCTGGCATCGAAAGCTCTTGTGTACCTGTTTGAGGGTGTGTTAATTTTGCTTTGTTAACTTTACTTTGTCCTCCGCCAGCGTCAGCAAAAGTGGATGGGCAGGACTGTGCCTGCTGCTATCAGGTTTCCCTCTACCCCAGTCACTCCTCCTTCTTACAGCTGTGGGGGTGCACCTGGCCAAGGAAGATGCTGCTCCAGGCTGTCCCTGGGTTAATGTGGCTCTGGCAGAACATGCCCTTTCTGACACTGGTCATGTTCTTAGGCCTGTTCCTGCTGATTGCTGATTGCATGAAAAGGAGACGGCCGAAGAATTTCCCTCCAGGACCTTTGCCCCTGCCCTTCCTGGGCCACATACTTCATCTGGATTTCACACAAAGCCATAGGACTATAGAGAAGGTAAGTGGGGAAGAGAAGCAAGTGCAAGAATAGGAGTTCTGTTTGCATGAGCTTTTTTCACCAGGGAGTGGTGGGTGAGAGAGACGCTGGGTGAGACCCTCAGCTGCGCCTGAAAAATGTATAGCACAGCTCATGATGGCACCACCTCTGCACTGCCATGAACTTGGGTTTGTCCTGGTGCTGCTCTGGCCCCTGGCATAAATTACAGCCATCTCTACACTGCTCTGAGTTGTACCAGCTACTAACAGTCCCAGTAGGCCATTCCAGAAGTCTGCTGCCCGGGATCACCAGAGCACAGGAAAACCTCTGGTCAAACCCCTTTTCCCTCAGCCAGTGTCCAGGATGTGGGGGTCCCATCTGTGGATTCCTTTCCAATGGAAATCCTCAGGAGGTACGATCCTCCAGGTTTATGTCTGCTTTGTGCTGGGGTACAGTTTAAATTAGATTTGACGTATCAGCGAATTGAGGCCTGATTACATGTGGATGGCAGTGTCTGATGCAGTGCACAATGTACCATGGCTTGAAGGTAGCGAGTGGGGAGTAGTGAGTGTGACAGGGGGCTTGCAATGTGTGCAGGGGCTTGGGCAGTGCAGGAGCAGGCCCAGAAGGACTTACCAGGTAAGAAGAGGCTCATAAAAAGTTACCAAGAATAGAAGGACTGAGACTTGGAAGGGGCTGTGTAGGGTTTGAGGTTGCTGCTCCTCAGGATTGGAAAGAGCTCACAAGGAAGTAGGTTGGGTGGGGGATTGCAAGAGTTACAAGGAAGTTTCAGTGACTCAAAAGGGCTTGAGGGAATTTAATTACAGGCTTTTAAACGGGTTTGCGAAGAACGCAGGCTTGGTAAAAACTTGTAAGGAGCATGGGGAGTTGGGCAAGAGTCAGAAGTTATGGGGAGTTGGGCAAGGGTTGGAAGCACCCTGCCCTAGGCGGGAAGATGTGATTAAGTGGTTGCTCATAAGGGTTAGAAAGCGACTTCTGAAGCCCAAGGGAGTTTGGAAGGTAACTTGTGAGGGCTGTCCCCTTGCAAGGGCTAGAATAGGTTCCTTTCACACAGGCCTCTGTGGAAGCCAGTAATTTGTTCTCCGCAGCTTTCAGTCACACACCCTGAGTGCCCCAGGGAGCTACGTAGTTTATTGTGCGGTGGGTGTAGGCCAGAAAGGAGGGGTGCTTCTGACAGAACTGGAGTGTGTTTTGTTTAAACCAGAATGTTGTTTTCTTCACTATAGGAACGATCGTTGAAGGGCAACGTATCTGCAGTCAGTATTGCTACCAGCCAGGAAGGTGTCTGCTCCTATCAGCTTAGAGTGGGCTGATTTTCAATAATTATTATTTACCAGTAGGTCTCTTTTACTTTGACATCCCTTAGGAAAAGGCACAGGGCATTTGTTATCCTTAGATAAGCTTGTTTTACTGTTACCTCATTTTCCTTTCCATTTACATGCTTCATCCACCTGTTATATCCACTTGTGAGCTCATTCTTTTTAATCAGTGCTTGAACAGCCAGGCCCTTGAATGCTCTTGTTATACAAATACTTTTTTTTACAATTATTATTATTATTAATTAAGTAGTAATTACATGGGCTCTAGTTCTGGTTATCAAACTCATAGACTCATAGACTTTAAGGTCAGAAGGGACTATTATGATCATCTAGTCTGATCTCCTGCACAACGCAGGCCACAGAATCTCACCCACCCACTCCTGTAACAAACTCCTAACCTATGCCTGAGTTACTGAAGTCCTCAAATCGTGGTTTAAAGACCTCAAGGTGCAGAGAATCCTCCAGCACGTGACCCATGCCCCACGCTGCAGAGGAAGATGAAAAACCTCCAGGGCCTCTGCCAATCTGCCCTGGAGGAAAATTCCTTCCCGACCCCAAATATGGTGATCAATTAAACCCTGAGCATGTGGGCAAGACTCATCAGCCAGCACCCAGGAAAGAATTCTCTGTAGTAACTCAGATCCCACCCCATCTAACATTCCATCACAGATCATTGGGCATATTTTCCTGCTAATAATCAAAGATCAATTAATTGTCAAAATTAGCCTATCCCATCATAGCATCCCCTCCATAAACTTATCAAGCTTAGTCTTGAAGCCAGACATGTCTTTTGCCCCACTACTCCCCTTGAAAGGCTGTTCCAGAACTTCACTCCTCTAATGGTTAGAAATTAAATATGAACTAAACCAAATGCTCTTTTTTTTTTCCAGCTTGCTGGAAAATATGGCAACATTTTCAGCATGCAGTTTGGTAACCTGACATTTGTGATTGTAAATGGATTCCAGCTGGTGAAGGAAGTGCTTGTCCATCAGGGTGAATACTTTCTTGATCGCCCACAAATTCCTCTTATCTACGAAATCTTTGGTACATTTGGTGAGTTTCTTTTCTTATCTTTTTCTTCAAGTATTTCGGGTGTAACATTTTTAATAATAAAGGCACCAATCCTGCCAACACTTACAAATGGGCTTCACTTTATGCACGTGAACAGTCTCATTGAGGTGTGCTCTGCGGTAGTAACTTCTAGTAAAATCAATGGGAGTTTGGCACCTAAATACCTTTGAGGATCTGGGCCTTAGTAACTGCCTCAATTCTGCAAATACTTACACATGTGCTCATGTCTCATTGACTTCTCATGTTCACATCCCAACTGCCATATCCCTGGCGGCAGCAGCAGCAGATTCACATGACTACCATGTAGCTGTGATGGCATGTAGAATGGACTTCCATCCTGGGTGGTCCCTTGCAAGTTTTCCTTCAGCAAGAATCAGAATGGGAGGATTTATGCTTCTGAAATCCCTCAAAATTGCATCTTCCAACCTCATTTCTGGTCGGTAGTGCGGCCTACTTCCTTCAATCTCAGCTCTATACACCTTCTGTAAAAGTGTACCTTCTGCATGTTGGACATGACCCTACCATTGCTAGAGCCCAGGCACTCTGATATAATAGTGATGAGCAT